GGTGGGCAAGCCCACGCACTTCACGGTGCACACGAAGGGCGCGGGGAAGGCGCAGCTCGACGTGCAGTTCGCGGCGCCGGGGAAGGGCCCGGCCGTGCGCGACTTCGAGGTCATCGACAACCACGACTACTCCTACACCGTCAAGTACACGGCGCTGCAGCAGGTCCGGGGCGCCCCGGGGTCCCCTTGGGGCTCCCCAGGGTCCTGCTGGCCCCCTGCGCCCCATTGAGTTCCCCCGGTATCTCTGTGGGGTCCTGACACCCCCCGGGCACCCCTGAGGTCCTGGAACTTCCCGGCTCCCCTTGGAGCTCTGCAGTGTCCTGTCCCACACCCTGGGCACCCCTTGGGGCTCCCGATGTTCCCCATTTGGGGTCTCAACACCCCTGGGTACCCCGTGGGGCTCTTGACGTCCCCCAAACACCATTTGGGGTCCCAAAACCCTGGGCACCCCCTGGGGGTCCTGGCATCCCCCAAACACCATTTGGGGTCTCAAAACCCTGGGTACCTCTTGGAGCTGCTGACATCCTCCAAACACCTTTTGGGGTCTCAACACCCTGGGCACCTCTTGCAGCTCCTGACATCCCCCAAACACCATTTGGGGTCTCAACACCCCTGGGCACCCCCTGGGGCTCCTGACATCCCCCAAACACCATTTGGGATCCCAACACCCCTGGGCACCTCTTGGAGCTCCTGACATCCTCCAAACACCTTTTGGGGTCTCAACACCCCTGGGTACCCCTTGGGGGCCCCCCAGGGTCCTATCCTCCCCCCCTCACACTCCTTGGGGCTCCTGACACCCCCCAGCGCCCCTTTGGGGTCCCAGCACCCCCCATCCTCCCCTTGGGTCCCCCCAGGGTCCTACCCTCCTTGGCACCCCTTGGGGCTCCTGACACCCCCCCAATCACCGTTTGGGGTCCCAACAGCCCCAGACTCCCCTTGGAGCTCCCTAGGGCCCTTAGCACCCCATGGGGCCCCACAGGGTCCTATCCCACACCCTGTGCACCCCTTGGAGCTCCTGACACCCCTCCAAGCACCATTCGGGGTCCCAACACCCTTGGGGCTCCCCGGGGTCCTGTCCCCTGCCCCTTGCACCCCTTGGAGCTCCTGACACCCCCTGGGCACCCCTTTGGGGTCCCAGCACCCCTGGTCTCCTCTTGGGGCTCCCCAGGGCCCTATCCCTGACCTCGGCACTCCCTGATGCCCCCGTGTGCCCGCAGGGTAACATGGCCGTGGTTGTCACCTACGGAGGTGACCAGGTCCCCAAGAGCCCCTTCGCCGTCAACGTGGCGCCCGCCCTGCAGCTGGGCAAGGTCAAAGTGCAGGGCCTCAACAGCAGTGAGTGCGGGGGGCACCCCGGGGTGGGCCGGGACCCCCATGCAGGGGGGGCACCCTAGGGGCTGGCACCAAGGAGGGCATGGGATCTCCAAGCATGGGGTGCACCTTGGGGTGGGCTTTGGGTCTCCTTTGTGCATGGGATGCCCCAGGTTGGGGGTGATGCTGGACAGATATGAGATCCCCTGGGCGCAGGGGGCACCCCGGGGTGGGGGTTGGGTCCTCCCAAACGTTGGGTGCCCTCCGGGCTGATGCATGTCCTGGATATGGGCTGCGCCCTGGGTGGTGGCACCCCAGCATGGTATGGGATGCTCATGCACGAGATGCACCCGGGCCGGATATGGGACCTCCTGCACCCAGAATGCACCATGGGGTCGGATTTAGGTGCCTCCCATGCATAGGTGGCACCCTGGGGTGGTGGCACCCCAGCATGGTATGGGATGCTCATGCACGAGATGCACCCGGGCAGGATATGGGACCTCCTGCACCCAGGATGCACCATGGGATGGGATTTGTGTCCCTCCCATTCATGGGTGACACTCTGGGGTGGTGGCACCCCATCATGGCATAGGATGCCCATGCATGAGATGCACCCTGGGCAGGATATGGGACCTCCTACACACAGCATGCACCGTGGGGTGGGATTTGGGTCCCTCCCATGCATGGGTGGCACCCTGGGGTGGTGGCACCCCAGCATGGTATGGGATGCCCATGCACGAGATGCATCCTGGGCTGGTGCATCCTGGCAGAATATGAGACCTCCTGCACCTGGGATGCACCTTGGGGTGGGATCTAGGTCCCTCCTATGCATGGGTGACACCCTGGGGTGGTGGCACCCCATCATGGCTTGGGATGCCCATGCACGAGATGCACCCTGGGCTG